ATCAACCAATCATTGTTAAACCACCATTAGAAACCTGAAAGCGCAAAATCCGTAGATCAATCAGAGTTAGACATTAACACCGTTGGATGCCGGCCCAGTGGTTCGATGGTTAGGCGTTCGCGCACAATACCGAATGTCCCGGGTTCGAGTGATGCGAGGAGCAGGGTCGTGGATGCGCACTGCTTAGGAGTCCCATACCAGGACGAAACAGCCGTCGGGTGCTTCCAGGTTTCTAATGGTGGTCTAACAATGATTGATTGATGATTTCATATGTGTAAAAATCACCATTTGTTATCCGTCTAGTTTAAATGTACCAGTTCAATACAAACATGTCAGTGACAATTCCATGATAAGAATATAACATTACATTCATTGCATACAAACATGGAAAAAATAGTATGAATATTTGATGCATAAGAATCTTGTTGAATCGAGATTTCTTATGTTCTCCTGACATTTTCAGTTCATCAGTTGATAAAAATTTGGTCAGTATGATTCTACCGCTTTCCACATTCATTGAATGCCTCACGTTGTGTCAGTGATAACTAACTGTTTAATTTGATCATGATTACAGAAAAGATTTTTCGCAAAATCAAGCTTTTATGACCAGTTCTACTGATTCTGTAACTGTTATTTTACAACTCCAATTCGAAGTTTAATTTAATTTATTAATTATTTAATAATCATAGACCATAGAACATTTTGCTCACTAATTTATGATTGGAGAATGCAAATAGCTTTGTTTTTTTGCACCTAAATATTGTTCATAAACACAGAAACTTTGAAAATGAACGTTTTAAAATACACAAAATAGATATTGTGTACTTTATGAGGTCAATAACAATAATCACCATCTATCTTCAAATAAAACGGTCACTTTAACGCAGGAATTACACTTACTGCACTAACACAGGCCTTGTCATATAAAGTCAAGTTAATAATACTTACGGATCACATGCAAAGGTTATTGATGTGCTTCGGAACGAATGTATTTCACCTAAATACATTAAGGGAAAATGGTCGATTATGATCACCACTAAAGGCCAATTACGCTCCAGTTACCGCGTAAGATCTCTCCGTAAAACCAAAACCAAGAAAAAGGTTGGATGTAGGAATGACTCTATTATATGTTGACGATCTCGTGGTATCGAAATAATCCCGAGATCGTGCTAACGGATATAGGCGAGACTACCGTGAGTACGACAAGTGAGATGAAGGCTACACGAGTGGAGAGCGGGTGTGTCCAGGGCAGTTAAACAAAGAGTATAGTAAAACTACCAGATAATAATAAATGTTTCTAATAAACCAATCGCGTTCAATTCATAAAAGTGGGGTCACTACAAAACCATGACTTGTGGAGTTCGGATGTTGTGCAGTAACCTGCATCAGGTGATGCATAAAGGTTGCTCATGATCATGAATTGATAGAGGTTAGGCATTTGCGCGGTCGGACTCAATGGAAAACAGTTTAAGCATTTTGTTCGTCATACCTATTTGGTACTTATAAAATAATCAGTAGTATATTTAACTAAGATCACAATTGTTTTACAAAACGTTAAGTCATTTATTTGAATTAATCATATGGCTTATAAGGCCTGTGTTTAAAATTTATTTCATATTTTCCAATTATCTCGACTATTTGTGGTGAAATTTAGCTAATTTTAAAATCGATAATTTGAGCTTCTGCTCTGCCTCCTTTTCTTTCAACCTGTTGATAATCAGTCAAAAAACTGTTCAGACTATTTTGCCATCCTGATCTGACTGTCTGGATATTGCCAGATATACAGAAGTGATTTTACTAGACGATCCCTATATTCGTTATCATTGTGTGTCGTTCTAAGTAGAACTCTTCAGGTTAATACTGAATATTATGAGTTCCTTCTAATATCGAGGCGAATCGCTCGGGATGAACATGAGTGAAAAATGACTCGTCAGATGCAGTCCCCAATGTCTACAGAAGACTACAAACGCGTACATAATAAATCTAACCTTGGTATACAACAGTCCAGTGCCCACTAGAATTCAGTAACTCAGTGGATAAAGCAATGTGCACTTGAGACAAGGTGTACTGAATATGAGTCCCTATGTAAACACTAACACTGGCTTGTATGTACCACCAACTGACTAGTCCCAAACGAAGCTAAACGACCGCTCTGAATTCCACTGTTCGTCTCCATCTAGGCTTAGTAAAAAATATTGATCAGTTTACACAAAGTTCTGTTACGTTAGGTGATTATTTGCACTATTATATTTATTGATTAGTAAGGATTTTTTGTGTAAAGAATGATAAGTGTCCTATCATATTTCTATTTATTTTATCAAGAACATGCAAAATCATTAGCTATTTGCAGATTACACAAATAAGTTGACATGGTAACAAAATACGTAAATATTAAGAGTTGTTGTGAATACTTCATATTTTTTGGTCACTTTATGTCGTATTCTTCATACGATCCAATCACTCAGATGACTTTTGATTGATCAATATACAACAAGGACGAGAGACTTGCTACTTTATACTGAATACTCATTTGCCACAACAAAGAGGGCGAATGAAAACCAATGACCACCAGTTCAAGATTGAGTTATTGTATTTCAGACATTCCTTTATGTACACTCACAACCAGATCAAATGGTATCAATAAATGAAAATTAAAAATAATACGTGAATGAAATAAAAGTGATTGTGAGTAAAGAAAATGATAAATAATAAATGGTCAGCATTTTCCAACCTACTCCGCCCTTGGATCTACCCTCCAGTTCTAGCTGACTGCTGTTCATTCTTATTGTGTCTGCTTTGGATTCTCAAAATTATTCACTTGTCTAGTGACTCTGTAGCTGATGATTCGTCTTGATCACTACCAAGTGATGAACGAAAGCTATGTCAGCTCCTCTCTTTGTTCTTCTGAACTTTTTATTAGTGTAGATATGATAAATTAGGTTCTGTCTGGAGTGATCTGGTGAAATACATGTGACTCTATGTATGCGTTTGTGTGGGAATATGGTGCCCCCGATGACCAGTTTGTCAAAGGCACATAAGTTTGCAAATATCTAACCCTTTTGATTCCCTTCCGTCATTCCATGTCGTTTCATGATATCTTCATATCCAGGGTTGACTATACCAACCTCGGTATTTAGTTCTCCCATCAGTATAGTCAAGTCCTTTGTTGGGTATTTCTTGACGAGTGACTGCATCGTCTAAAAGAACTGGTCTTTATCATCATCGTTGCTGCCGTAACACCGAATGACATTCATTGTAATCGCCCTTTTTTCTGTTGAAGGATGATTTGATAATCATGAGTCAATGAAATCTTATCAGTGCTTTTCATGCTTCTTTGTACAGTGTGAGTATGACTCCTTGCTGGCGAGACATTTTATTCATGACTAAAGTAAAACACCACCTCTTACAAAGTAAATTTTACTTGTCCTTATATAATTGTACTCATGAAAATCAAATATAGTTCTAATCTAAAATCTTGCGATTTTTACATCTAGTGAAATATCTCATGTTTTGAGCGCAAACAAGGCAATCGTCTAATCAATTTGTAGTATTTTTTGTCAAGTAAAATGATCATTGTTTATATCTTATATTTATTATGAGAAATTATAGAATTAAGACCAACTGACAATCAATATTTAATCACCTATTAAAGCCTTGAATAAGTATAATCATCGTTTATTCTATCCAATCAAGTACTTCCCGACATTGTAAACTGTTGAATGAGACGATGATTGTTCATAAGTGAAAAAATGTGCTTGTTTTTCCGCTTAGGGATTTCATCGGAAAGTTACAAATGAATTATTTTATAATTTTCATTAGTAGTCGGTATTAGTTAGACTAACAAACTAGCTAGGATTGAACAAATACTCAGTCCAAGTATGAGGTTTCTCACAGGGAATCGAATCCACGACCCCAGGTTTCACTGAGAGCGCTTAACCTTCCAATCACTGATCTCGTATCCATAATTTTTCATATTTTGCTTCAGTTAATTCGTAATATTACACAAATATCTTCTAATATCGTCAGTGGGTAGCCCCCTGACACTAGACATGGTTGAACTCTACTCCTTTTGTTAGCCCCAGTTAAATTATACAGTTCCTTAGCAGCCATTTAAAAACTCCATCGTTATATGCAATCAGAATATATAAAAATTCAGTAAAATAAGTCAACATTGACACAGTTGGATAATATTTGATTGAAAATGACTTATTCGGTAATCGAACACTTGATAAAAGATCCCTAATCAATTACTCGTTTCACAGATGACTTCAACCAATGATGACATGAACGGCAGTTGGGATTCAGGAAGTATAAAAAGCTCCTAAGTAAGTTTTTACATAAAAAATCCAAGTATTCATCGATTTATCGGTGAAATTAATATATTTTACAGGCTTCTGGAAACACACCAAAGTTCGAGTCACAAAATAGGCAGCCATATCATGTAAATATGATATCATGTTGATATTATTTTGATTACTAGTTTATAAATATATCAATCATTCGTTTTGTTTATTCAATTTGCGCATCCATGCATCATGATGATTATTCTTATTCATACCACATGTCTTTTTATTATTTCATTTAAGAATAAATATCTTCACTAGTTAACTAATTGATTGTTATTAATTTATGAACAATTAATATTCGTTGAAATTTACTTCATCCAATCCACATAATAATAATAGTAATAATATTATTATGATTATTATTATTAAACATGTGCACATTTATGTTGGCCAATCAATACACATTAAATTATCAAATTATTAGTATTGTCAAGTTTAAAACTAACTGGTTCCTAATAATAATCATCATAAAATTGTCACAACTCTGAGGAATGAAGCTAAAACTAATGAATTAATCTAACTGAATTATTATTTCAAAAGCATAGAACATTATTTGCAAGATATAATATTTGTTTTAGGATACTTTATTTTATTGACAACGATATCAGTCATCGTTAAACATCATCATCACTACTACTATTATTATTGATAATTATGGATTATTCTGGTTATTCCACGGATAATTCTGATACAGATCAAACAAATTCATATCCACTGAAAGAAAAATCAACATCCAAGCGGCATACTAGACGCAGTCATCATCGTAAACGATTTGGACGAATGGCAAAATCGTGGAAATTTATGAAATTACGAAAACTCTGGGAAAGAGACATGGCTAAACAGAGGTAAATTGTAATTTTAGGTGAAGAAAAATCTTTTAATCTTTCACCTACAATAATGACATAAAATGGTAATTAATTTTATAAGGATAGTTTTCATTATTAAACTGACTTTAAATTGGGAACTATGGAAAATTAAAAATCATTTGACAGTGTGTCACTTATCTTCAACTAAAACAAGGATACAGGTGTGAAATCATGCTAAAGGCTATCAGCTTTCATGGTCAACAATATTACATCAAAACATTTAGCTAAAATTGAAGTTTTTTTATATTCGCAACTTTAGTCAACTGTTATTCTACTGGTTTACTTTGTTTATATAAAAGAAAGAATCTTCAAATAATATTATTGTTTCCAACAAATTAACTGATCCAACAGTGTTTCACAAATCATCAAACATTTTCACGATTGCATAGCATATACGGTTTCGAATTTCGAATGAAGAAAGTTTTGATTGTGTGTTTCATTCCGTAAGTGTTCTTCAGAATTGTTATGTATGTGGTTGAAGATTAAACTTTGCAAATTGAACTGCATTACTCTGACTATCGGGACAAATCATTGGATTCTAATTTAGAATAGTTTCATTATACGACTCAAGAGAGACTGGTTGTTCACTAATAAATCTGTTAGGTACAATCTCTTTTGGAATAATGCAATTTTAGATCAAATCATAATGATTTGAAATTAGGTTTTAACAATTATAAATCGTTAAGAAAAGAGCTTTATTGGTGTTCGTTTCAAGTGTTGTGGAAATTGATCACGCAAGAATCACCGATATGATTGTCGCTTTCAGTCATTTAACTTGAAAAAATACCTTTCAATGTAGACTAGACAAAAAGTAATATTGATTTTTCTGGGATAATGGTTCTGAGTTTCGTCACCCGATCTCATATTGTCTGATTACTGTCGCTTCTTCATTATCCCCAGCATTTTACCGTTTATGCTGAAGTTTTATTATAGCTTTGAAACTTGTGTCATTGCATACTTTTACCAGGTTGTAAGATGATGATGACTAACTGATGAGCTTACTTGGAATTGATTCCATGTGAATGTTGAATTTCTCCATCAGCAATTCCTACTTCAAATAGTCGCTTCATTTTCATCATATTATTATGATTACTTTTATATTTTTTTCTAATTGCTACCATCTTCTTTTACAGAAGCATATCAGCACCGTTTGTTCCGATTAAAGCCAATACTAAATAGTAAGTGCGAAATCAATGCTAGTAATAATAATAATAATGACATGAATCTAGTAATTTGTTTGTGTGTGTGTGTGCGTTTTTTTTAGTAAAAATAATGATTCTATACAACAAGATAAATGAAAAGCATGCAATAAATGCCAGAAATCAATAATTTGTCTATCAGTAGTGATAAAAATTATGTGAACATTTTAAAGAATATTACAAACAGGTTTCTTTGAAATGTTCAATGATCTGTAATCAGTTTTTGATCAAGTCAATCAGTACTTTTTCTACCATATTATCTGATCTTAGAAATAATGGACTAAATAATCTACTGAAAACAAGACTCATCAACCATAACTACTCAGTCATTATATATAATTGATTTATAGAACTTTTTATCACATAAATTGATCTCAAATAAGATAAATGTGAAAATTAGAGAAAACTGGGTAGGTAGTGTTCTTTGCTACCGCTACCTAACCAGACAACATACCCGAGACTTCCAGTTCTCTTCGAGAGAACGTAATCGTTAAGACCACTTGATCAGTGTTTTAAAGTATTGTTTCAACCTCATTCAGTTTGCAATACAGTTAGAAACTCGTACAATGCTAAGCTTAACAATTGTTTTACTCCCTGTGGATGTACAATTTCCACCACTCACGACTTCTGTTTAGTACTGAGAGAACATCTTATAGTCAGATAACGGGAGCGCTCACTGTAATTTAATTTGCAGGGTTTTGTGTAGACTAACTTCATTTATAAGTTATAGTTGCTATCTTGTGTTCATTTGTTATCAGTGAAATTGATTCAGAATGACAAGGAGTTATAAATGAACTGATTGTAAATATATCAGCACTGGATTATGATTCAGTCGTTAATATTCAAAATGTAAGCTTCTGATCATCAAAAACGATATATAGTCATGAATGCAAACCGCTGGTTAAGTTGCTTATCATTAGCAAGATCTCTATGCTATAATTTTATTTCCTATGGTTCACAAATAGACACTAGTGAAAATGATACAACTGATAAACATGACCACAGTTTAGTCAAATATAAACATTTAGATTATCATTATTGAATTAGCCATGAATATGGGTGTGATTTTTTCTACCATACTGTTTGATTGAATACTGATAGTGTCTGTAACTAAATTGACTAATTGTTTATAACAAGTAAATCTAAACAAACAAACTACTCAATATAAACGTTTTGATGATAATTGTTAACAATAATTATTATCTTGATAAAACAACTGTATCGATTAAAATTTCATCCAAAATTGATAATTCGTTTTACTAATATTGAATGATGGAGAACAGCAGAGTGAAGAACATGAGCTTCTTCTTATCTGACACTAGTCAGCAGCTAGGTGTACTTACATCCTAGTGTTGGTGTTCAGACCACGACTTGATACCAGTATCTTTCGTTTCAAAGGTTAAACTCATTTTATATTGACCTATGGAGTCGAGTCCTACTTAGAATGAAATTCATTAAACAGCTAAACCAAAATACTTGTAGATATTTAAGAATATTGAGGCAATCACTGCAATGTGCACATATACCATAAGAGACTGATTAATTGTAGTTTTTTTAATAAATACTGCATGGTCAAAAATACTGAAAAACTGGTGAATAAACATTTTTCGGATATTTTTAATTCTTATTATTGACGTTCATGCATCGATTGATGAACTATTTGAAAAAGTATAAGCATTTTCTATTTCTGTATGCATTTGTAAATTATGGCTTTTATATCATAGATATCCTTGCTGACATTGGTATAGATTGAAAACAAGTTTTAGATTGTTCAAACCAAGATTCCATACCAATTTAATGTAGTACATAACTTTGAACCTGAATTAATTTCTTAAGTTTAGGCTTTGATGTTAAAATTTATCTAGTAATTGTAATCACCGTTTGAAGTATGTGAACAATTCAATCCTTGACTGTACACAGTATCTCTTCGTGACGGTATTCTCTGCGTATGCTCACATGAATTGCAACAACCGGACCACCAACAAGCTTTTGGCTATTTGTATTCTTTATTATGATTAACAGCTTTAATACTGTGCATAAAAATGAATTCGTCTTTGCATAGTAAGCTGTTCGGATTTATTAGTTGCATTAAATTACCATTCAGAATAAATATTATCTTCACTCTTATTCATATAATCATTGATTATTTTTACTAAGTAATTAATTTCAAATTGAAATGAAATTTTACTAGGAAATCTTGTAATTAGTTATTAAAAGGTTTAAAAATAGTTCAAAGTCATGAGTTATTCAATAAAATATTAACAACTTGAGAACATAGTTACTAATATTTATGGAGAACATGAAACATGATTCGTTACAATGTGAAAATATCTAAGATTTATTATGAAGTAAAAGTTGCATATTCTGGTTTCAATTGTTTCAAAGTAAATGATAAAGGAGATATGGGTTAAGTCGTTCAAATCGTTTAAGATTTTCAAAGAAGTTTAATAGAATTCCAAGTATTATTCTGAATATTGAATTACACTTGCTTATCTAGTTACGCATACAGGTAATTTGAGTTAGACAATATGATACAATGTGTTTGGTTTTGTTGAACTGTCTAATATGGATAACTTATTTGCAGTTACATGAACTGAAAATGCAGACATATAAACAACCAATCATCGTAGCATCATAATCCACTATTTAGGAAATTGCAATTGTGGCTATGAGTGGAATTTAAGACTTACACTTCTTCCCTTTCAGATATCAAGTAGATTTACCTGATATATTCTAGTTTTTGATGTTTAAACTCAGGTTCAAATGTAGTACTTTCTGTTTTAAACGCCCAACGTGTAATCCACCTTGCTACCGAGTCCAGATAGTCACTTACTTGTTAAACTACTATGAATTTAGCATGAAAGGTTTACAATTTTCCATTGTCAATATTAAAGATGGTCAGTTGTTATTGGCGTTTGATTATCGTGATTGAATTGTCTCACTAACTCTACTTACTCATGAATTTCATTAAAGTTATGAAATTCATGAACCACTGGCATGTAAAGCAACAGGTACTATGTTTGAATCCCACTGCTCTGAATATGAATGCTGGAATGTATGTGTAACCATCAAATTACAAAATAAGGTTGTTCAGCCAGTAATTTAAATCATTTTTAGATTCATATAAACTATCAACCATGTACCAATGAACTTGATGTGTTTCAGGATAAGAGTAAGATTTGCAGGAAAAAATGCTTACAGTCAAATTCAAATCACCCTACATTTTAAGCTACCATTCGGTCTGTTTTACTTCATTAAAATATTTTCAATAATGAATATGGATATTTCTGCATTGCAACTAGAGAGGAGATTGTTTTTTTTCATTTTATTGATATTTGTTCATGAAAATGAATTTTTTTTCCTGATGATAGCTATTTTCTTAATCAGTTGATCTTCATATTTTCTAACAATTTAATTTAGTGAATCTATGACAGCTAGTTTACTTTTCATGTTTGCTGTAACTCAGTGTATATTTGGCTTTGTATTACCGATATGTGATTCATTTGGTATGAAAGGATATAAACGTAACTATGAAGCAAATCATAAGTACTATTTTGAAGTAAGTTACTCAGACTATAATTGGTTGGTTTAATCATTTATTTTCAAAATGTCAATGGTAACTGATATTCAGTAGAGTAATGATATGCTTTACTGAGTCTAGACTACCATACACTTTGACCTATGATATTCATTGGTCTAGAAGAAAGGTTGGGTTGGTCAAACTAGGATGTGATAACATGTAGAGGACGTTAGATCCCTAGAACTCACTTGACCAATGTCCTAATTTTGGATTTTATACTTTCACACATAGGCTGATCAGTTGTCCTTGAGATTACATTTCCCACCCGGAAAATCCTCAACTGTCATTAGTCAATGTGTTATTTTAGTACGCTGTTTTTGTGTCTCTCAACAGGACGTTTCTATCATGTATGAATAAACTCGATTTGTGTGCTTGTTGACCTCATATTTTCTGGGTACTTGTAGAATACACTTTTTACGCCATATCAAGACTTCTTCTTCTACTTAGTGGGGCCTTTGGACGCTTGGATTAGAGTAGCCTATCCGTGTCACTGGATCACTTGTCTTCGTTCTCGTTTACCGAGTAAAGTGAACTCGGAATAGTTTCAAGCATATCAAATGACGAGAATCACACAGCAGTCCATGGAGTCAGTGATTGCTGGATTGGGCCCTGTAGGTAGGTACAAATAATCTAGGTGGAATCTGAGTGATTATCACAATGATTGACGTGGTGCTACATGACTTAGGATCAATAGTGATGGTACAAATACATTCACTCTTTTTCCTCCCTTCTCAGTTCAGTTCTGAAGTCATCTTGTGCTGCTTATGTTCCCCAATTTAATTCCTTTTTTTAAAATCCAAACCATTTTCAAATTCAGTAATTAGCTTTATATATAGTCATTCTTAGTTTTACTAATCTCACGGATGACTGTTTACTGTCGAAAAGTTAGTAAACAAACATCTCAAAGTAGGTCATTAATATACAATGAACTACTGAATTTGTGATGAAGAGAAACACATCTTTATATGCAACGTTTATAATAATTAATATTCACGATATTAGGTAGTACTATAAATAACCTATTCACTTTGATTGTTGCTTTTTTTTCTAGATATTTCTAATTTCTCAATACTGTGGAGCATTGCTCGTTTTAGCTTATTTACAATATTTAATTTACAGTGGAACAAAAAAGCAATTAAGACAAACACTTGTAAATGAAATTTTAAAATCGAAATCTGGATGTGAGCTAGTAGGTGATCAACATATGAGTAAGTAGTGTATAATGATGAATAATAGTTTGCAAGCAACATTTCGATCAATAAGTATTATCATGTTTATGGTTTTGAAGTTGGTTTCATAGTTGTAAGACAATCATTAGAAACTAAAGAACAGCCAAACTATTATCCTTTCAAACTTATTAAGCTTTACAAAGATAAGACAAAAATAAAATTAATGAAGGACCCTTAGCTATTACGACGCACACCATTCAACTTACTTACTTACTTACTTTCGCCTGTTACCCCCAATGGAGCATAGGCCGCTCACCAGTTTTCTCCAACCAACTCTTTCCTGGGCTTCCTTTTCCAAATCTGTCCAATTTTTGTTCATTCTTCTCATATCTTCCTCTATTTCTCGGCGTAATGTGTTCTTTGGCCTTCCTCTTTTCTTTCGACCTTATGGGTTCCATGTGGGGGCTTGTCTTGTGACGAAGTTGGGTGTTTTTCGTAATGTGTGTCCTATCCACTTCCACCGCTTCTTCCTGATTTCCTCCTCCACTGGAATCTGGTTGTTCTCTCCCACAGTAGATTGTTGCTGATAGTGTCTGGCCAACGAATACAAAGCATTTTGCGTAGACAACTGTTAATAAACACCATTCCAGTGATCAACTATATCGTATTTTAGCCATCAACATTTACATATTCAGTTCATTTATTAATATACAGTGACAAATAACCAGTGCTGTTTGGTGATAGTTTTATCACCTCTGTATTGATTGACTGAAAAATGATGGCTTCTCCTTGATAATTTAAGAGTTCTGAAGCTAATAAGAAGGCTTTATTAAGCAATAGTACTCTTAAGATTTATCGCACGATATAACCAACACTGGGTCAAACACATCAATATTAGAAGTATGCGAATCGGAATGAGTGACATGTTAATTTAATTTGATCTAAAAAATCAAGACAACTTTCTAAGATAACTCATTAAAATTCCGGATAACTATTCAGTACATTCACCATACATAATATAATTTGATACCTCATTGGTAAAATAACGAGCTAATTGTAGATATTGCAATAGTGATAAAAAGTACTTTGCAAACTTAAATAATACAAAACTAACAATTTTCTTGATAGTTTTCCTTATCCTAATAGTACCTTGTTTCAAAGAACTAATCACCAATTAAATCTTGAGATGAATACAGAAAAATCGATGACAACCTAATTATTTATTTCCTTAAACATGAACTAGAAATATCAACTTTCATAGCTGCATACAGTAGGGGAATTGATTTCAGTGAGTGTACGCTTGTCTCTTTCACAGATGATAAAATAAATCAGTGCATCGGTTTATGTTTAAGTACAAATTACTTATCACTAGTTGAGAATCTTAAATTGCAAATTGAATGAAATCTATTTTTATGAAAGGTAGCCACTAAATATTTAATCAATGCATTACTGATTTACTGTTACCTTTAATGAAGCATCGGTCGCCGACCAGCATTCTCCAACCTTCTCTGTCCTATCCTCACATATTTGTTTTCTAATGAACGACCAATTATTTGAATCGAAATCTCTACAACAGTGAAACACATATCAAGCCATACTTTCTTATCTCTTGATAAGTTCTATTATGACTCTAATCTGTTATCTAATACCAGCGAAGACCTACTAACAATGGACTTATCAGATAATTTCATTACCATACAATCAATTTTCTATGTTCGCTTATAGTTAACTTAGCCCCATCTAAATTAAGATAAGATGACTTGATTGATCGGTCAAACAGTAAACTACATTGCTAACTGTCACACACATGTCAGTTTAATCAATCTGTTCTTGTTGTTTAAATGGTATGACATTAGATGGAGAATTATGATGCGTTATTCCTATATTTCAATCATCAACCGATGATTATTGATCAGTTTAACTAGATAAAGACATCTTTCTTAGTCAACTCACTGCAAATCTATGATTAGCATAAAAAATTAGTAGTAATAATAACTTGATTCTTGAATAGTATAATTTGAATATGTGACATAAACTTCTCTACTCTTACTCTGTCAAATTCTTGTCATTCGATAATCTTTTTTTCTTCATTTACCTATTGATATAACAAATAGAATTTAATACATTTGAATTTGTCATAACAAGATTAACTAAAGAAATCTGAGTAGAAACACAAAGTTCACTTAATTTTGTCATTCAGTGATTCTTTGAAAGGATAGAGAATGTGTAATTTTATAACATGATTGGAAGTATAAAGGAATACTTTCACGTACATTTTTAACTGAAATTAAGCTACAGTAAGTACAGCGAATAGTTTTGCATTGATGAAACTGATTGTTGGACAGTATCTCTCAATCGAATACATTACTTCTAATCTAAAAAAAATGTTTAATGTTGACGATATGATTAATTCTATTCTTTTAAAAATAGGGCACTGCTTTTCAAACCATACATTGTGGTTAGATTAAACAATAGGTGACATACAAACCTGAATTTGTAATAGGAGATTATTCATCTACTCAAGGTCACGAACTATGTGTCTCTGGCTAATTCATTATAGATACATATAAACTCGACAGAGTTGTGATCATTATCATTCACCGTTTGAAAACAAAAATGTTTGCACAAATTTGATATTCTCCATATGCACAGTTAGTTAGGTCAAGCATTCATGAGAGTATTAGTAACTGAATTACATTGAAGAACACAAGAGACAAGCCCTTAAAAAGAAAAATTCAGACAGTGGATTGATTCCTAAAATTACCGTAAAATAATAACACGAAATACATTGTTTGATTAATACTAAACAAAGCACTTGATTAGTATCATTATGAAATAATCGATTACTTTAGTTATCCTAAATTTTAACAGGCGATCAAAAAATCAACCCAATCGTTTAGAGTGTAACCTCAGCCTTTGGTAAGTTTGCTTTTAGTAGAAAAGTACCTTATGTGAGGAACATTGTGTGAAGTTATCTGGAAGGGGAAAATTGAGCCAACGACCCAGTAAGCACACATAGAATAATGAACTTTTTGTTAGTCAAAGCAGTCGATAAGAATGAGAACTAACATAATCATGAGATTATGACAAACTGATATTAGGAACTAGATGTTGGTAGCGTAAGATTTTAAATGTGAAAAGAGATTAAGTGAGTTTAGAAAGTTTCAATTTTTTCTTAGAGGTATGTTCACTTGTCATTTCTGTACCATTCTTTACAATTCAAGTCTTGGATTAATTTTATTTATATGGTTATTCATTTGAGTCTAACTTTCATCAACGTTACCGTTTGTTAGCCATAATTTTTTTTGGAAATCGAACCACTTTCAACTATCCACCACAGTGTAAAATCCCACAGTTGTTTGTTCTGTTTGTGGACACAATCAACATGAGCTTTATATTCCTGCCCGTTCAAATGAAATGATAATTTCTCAAGATTTGTTATATATTAATTCCCAGTCATATTGTAGTGAAGGAGAACACAGGTGAGGGCAACCGAATTGTATTTAACGAAAATTACAGAGTTACTCAGTAAAATAGGAAAACCATATCGTAACCGTTAATTTGCAAATCTTCAATCCACCAACAATCCATTGTTTGACATTTCACTATTCATGCGTTTCATACAAATTCCATTGTGTTCCCATTCTTCCTTTCTTGATCTTCCCTCATCTTCTGCTACCAGACATTACGTTTACACCCGCGTCATATACTACTTATAAGTAGCGCGCACCACAATATGATAGAAGATTAAGAAGTGAATCCTTTTTTTAGTTGATTTATAACGTTTCAATTGTACTTCTTAACAACTTTATCAGCCGAAATAAATGCTTGACTGTAAAAAATGTTTGATAAAACATTGTGTTGTTAATAATTACGAAAGCAGTTATATTGAATATACATTTGAGATTTCGCAACGACCTAATATGTAAAGTCATCCACTCTATTAATATTGTTTTCGTTTGTATATCTTCTAACAGAATAAAAGGCATTGAAATAAATGTAGAAAATTTGTATAACACAGTATCTATTAGTATGTATTACTATAATACGAAAAACTAAACTGATTCAACCAAAACCAATACTTATGAAGTTAATGGTTTTAAACTGTTTTTGTTTTTCAATGGATTCTTATTATCTTATCACATTTCCTCTCATTGAATACAATTTTGATGACCTGCTTCATTTCACTGTGGAAGTATATTTAATGTTTTGTCATGTATCGAAGCTGTAAGAGGAATATGTTAAAATATAGTACAAGGAAAATTTTGATATTTATACTAACCATACAATATCAAATAAATTCTCAAGATTTGACTTGATAATTTCAAATGAATTGACAATTAAATTAGATTAGAAATAATAAAATTCAATAGAAACAGTATAAAATCCTATTGATTGGAAAAATAACTTTGTTTTGAAGTTTCTTTCTTAACTTCAGCATTAAATTTACTAAACACAATTTTCTATCATGCAAAAAACAGCAAAATCCAGTCAATCAAAGAATAAGTTTGATCAAGTCAATGTCAGGTTTTCGAGATACTTATTATTATTATTATTATTATTATTATTATTATTACGTAACGTGACTGAACTAAACTTGTATTTACTTATACATATGTAATAACATTCTATTTACTTATTTATTCATCTACTAGTAATTAATGAACATCATGAATTGAGTGAATCAAATATAGTAAGTTAACTTATTCATCACCATGTGTTTTGATACTTTTTCGATCAATATCATTTAGTAGAATTAGACGTGAACGCATAATTAATGAATGTCTACTAAGTTTGTTTGTTGATTTCGTTGATACTTGGTCATACTTAAAGATAATTCTTAGTTATAATCAATCTTATATCAGCAGGAAAGTGAAACAGGTGTTGGATAGTTATTTCGCTCATAATACTATACTCCATGGTATCCAACACATCAAACTATATTGAGAGTGCTTTTTCTCAATTATTTAAATGAATAGTCCCTTTTGTACATATAAACAAAGCTTGTTGAACAATATTTGCGGAATAGAATGAATGAGCTCTATCTCAGAACATCCTAACAACTGTAAACAACAATATCTTTACATACTTTAGGCAATATTGTTGAGATTCATTTTGAAACAGATATCTTGTAGCTTATTTACTAAGTATCGACTAATATGCTCAACTTCTAGACACACACATACAATTTATGTAAGACCTTGTAGTAGTACTAGCTAGTTGTGCAAAATGGAGTGGATGAAGTGTTATTCAAACATGTGACCTATTAGTTTAAAGTCCAGTACAAAACCGTTTTTAAACATTGATCTCAAGAATGGCAAAACCTCTGATGACCTTGAGAATACTTACCGATGAATAAAATCCTTAAAATACAATGAATGTTTTTGAAATGAGTTAGATAAATATCACACATTGTATGTCATTCTTGTTAAGTCCAAATTTACAGGTTCACATTTTCTTCTTAAATAAAGCATTAATTTACTTCAGTTGTTCAATATGATCATTGATTGCCAAATGAATATTAAGTTTAAATGAAAAAATTGTAACTGAATGCTGGTACTACACTTTGGTGATTTATTCTTTCATGTTTTGTAATCAGTATAAATCTTACAGACGTAAATACTTGATCTTTTTTGATCGACTGAATATATAGTAAGTTTTTATTTGATAATTAAGTTATTTTTATCAAGTGGATAACATCATGGCGTTTGAATTGAACGGTACTGGTTTCGAGTGTCCGAGTGAACATCAACACCGAGATGCAGGATATCCAGATGACCAATCCCAAACTAGACAAAACGCGCATGCTCAATTTCACTGCTAATTACTGTTCACCTCTGCTAATAAGGCTGGTAACCTGAAATCACTGTCGAGGCCATCCGCAGAGGATGCACATATCCCAGATAGGCTGATCAATCGCAGTCCTCAACATCGAGGGGAAGATTCAAGGAACCAATACACAATAAATATAACCTGTAATACGAAGAATTAATCAGTTTAAATAATGTGTGACACTGATTTGTTAAACATATCTTTCACATAAAAGTTATCAATTAACTTCAATATTTCATTTCTGAAAGTTAATTGGGTTCCATAAATCCTAGTAGTAACTTTTCAGACTGTATAGCTGGATGAAACTGATTTAAATTCTGCTACGCCTGCACGTAAACACGTCAACTTGATATGCTTGAACTATTACGAGTTTACCTAGTCGGAAACGAGAGCGACGATCGAGGATACGGTGACACGACATGTTACTCAAATCCCCATATTTAGTTAAAATAACAAGACATGATATGAAGTAGAACCTGTATTCTACAAGCATCCAGAAAGCACGAGGTCCGAGTCCCGAAGAGTATCAGGATCCTGGACTAGGGATCCGGGACTGGGTCCTGGTCCTGGTCCTAAAACGTTACAGATAATGCGTATTTATACATTTTGGTCGAGTAAGAAACAGCATCGAAGTCTGTGACATCGATAGTTAAGACGACCTATAGGAAGTAACATTTGAAGTGACACTGATAGTCAGGACAACCATATAATTGACCAGTAGGAACTAACCAATAGGAATTGACCAATAATTCTCTTAGGATATTGGATGAATATCCTAACGAATTCTCCAGAGTGAATCCACTACCGCAGGAATGCAGATACACTCTCTTGAACAAATGTTAACCATCACAAAATCTAAGTCCAGAATTACTACATTCAACCGACTAATATCAATAAAACAGTGTATGAAGTATGAAGTCATTTTAATTAGTGGATACGTTGAAATTCATTTGATGATATTCAATGTGAACTGAAAGTTGAACAGATACGAAATTTTACATTATTTGTTGGTTAAATTATGTATACATTACCACAAATATTTAGAAAAATATCACAATTGTCAATAGTTAGAAAATTTATTGAATAAGGTATTCAGTTATTTGATATTGATGATTTCCTAGTCAGAATAACTGATAAAAGAACGAAACGTATTAGATAAATAACACTTAAAAGTGGATTAAGGTTGGTCACTATAATTTTTTAATTAGTGTACGTTTCATTGACGATACGTTTAGTGTGCTGAGTTGAAATGATAATGAAAAGCATACAATCAGAGTGAAGCGAAGTGGAGAAGGCGAGCGAGCCAACTGAATGCAGTGAGGCATGACTAAGTATTTTCAGTCAGACAAAATAAGCCAGACATGATATAAGCGAAATAAGCGGCACAAACACACTCAGTTAAAAGTAAACAAGATTATAAGTTAATGATCGACAAAGTCGGAAGACGTGTGAACACCTCGAGAAGAATGGATTGACTAAATGTTCAAAGGCTGAGACAAGCCTTGTGGTCTTGACCTGAAAGTACACACACTACATACGTTATATATATATATATATATATATATATATATATATATATATATATATATATATATATATATATATATATATAAACTTTCTTCTTCTTTCTCGTACACATTTTTATGTCATGCTTAATCAGCTGATCGCATCAGATTATGCGAATAATTCTTCACCAGTTAGTCCAACTGATAAATTATCTGATATTGGATCAACAACAAGTGAACGACAATTAGCACGATTAATTCACATTTATAATGATAGTAATAACAATCAAGAAAAACCTTATATATCAATACATCCAGAAGGAATGAATTTATATATGCGACTTGGAGCAGTTGGTAAGCATAAAATTTATAAACATCAACTTAAACTCATTAAAATATTTCATAAATTAACTTAGCTAATTGTATAAAACGGTTGGTTGTTACAAATCTTGTTAAATCAACTTGTATTAATTTCACAGTCTGTAAATTGTAACTGCAAGAAAAGTAATGGTATGCGAATGAATTGTTTGAATTTTGTTTATCTAAAGAGTTTTTGACTAAACTAAGATGTAGCGGTAGTCTATGAAGTCATTGACTAATGAATAGACCTATGTAGGTTGGTGCAGAATATCTTGGCCTAGGCCGTGCTCAATGGTTGTGAATCTTGGCACATTACTCGTAAACGTTGGATGATTTGATTTGAAATCGATAGTAATAGCCTATATTCATTCAATCCTTATCACTTCACAATTTAAAAATTATCCCATAACACTGAAATACCGTTCAATAGTTTTAAGATCCAACTTCAACCACCCTAACTTTCATCCATTACTTGCAGTGAATAAATGTCTTGCGCTCAACACCGACTAAGCTTAGTAGTCTAGGAGCTGGGCATTTAAATCGTGAGACTAAAGTTCCTCAGTCCTACCTCCTGCGTGCTGAGTCGTGGACGAGCACTGCTGAGGAGTTCCATACTGGAACAAAACAGTCACTTAGTGCTTCCACGTTTTCTATGGTGATCTAGTTAAGATTAACTCGTGACTTTAAACTAAAAATTCTACATTCTCCACAAATCCTCCATACTACTGCTAATAATAATAATAATCGATTCTCAGATGTACTATATAAGTAGTAATAATAACTTTATGGGTGTAGTTATAATAAGAACTATAACTCACACTTTTATGCAGTTTTCTCATTATACATAGAGAGAAATGACCAGAGTTCTAATTTCAATGACATATCGAACAGTTGCTTAAACTCTGTCAATTTATTGGAGCTTATTGATGTTTAATTAAATGAATGAAATTTATTCATTTATTCAACACAAGGTCGAATTACGACTATTTTCGCAAGTATTTTAGTTTCTAACCAAACACGCACATAGAGGAGAGTAATGACCATTTCGTACACAAAAACTCATAATTACCTTGAATTGCTTAAATGTTTTATAATTAATATAAAATCATGACATATTTTGATAACAATCAACCATACTTGAATTTCGATGCATTTTATCAGGATCTACTAAAGAATGTATCAGTTATACTATAGTAAATTAAAGATTCCAAGGTTGTAAAACAACCATAGTTAAATAATATGAATAGGTTCATGCTAGTAGATTGCTTCTATCCATTGAACAATACGTGATGGTTTGAATTATACTGTTGTTGGTATTTTCGACTGAACTTGGATCAGTTTTGTTTGGCATAGAATGCAGCTAGCAGTAAAATCCAGCATTTAGGACTTGTCAGCAACGTGTAACTGCATCTCAGAATTGATGTTCAACCCGGGACCCAAACTCGGTATCATTTGCCTCAAATGCCATCGCTTTGTGCACTTAGCTACGGGGTCCAGATAACCACTCACAAGTGCAACGGGTACGAGATTTAGTTCAACTTGAAATGGTCTAAATTATCCAGCTGTTGATATTTTTGACTGCGCAGAATGCCCATGTATACCAACCAAGACTAGTCAAATTTCAGCCAAAAATATCAACAACGGAAAAATACAAACCACTCCAAGTTGAATTATAAATAGAACAAAACCGCTTGATATTGAGTCTTGACCGGTTTATTAAATAGTTTTAAGATTTAAATATTTAGACTATCGTTAATATCGTGTATAAGCTTAGATGATAGGTCTACAAATCTATGACTGTCGTGTTAGGGTAAATCTATGCATAAGAATGAATCACAAATGAGAGTACGTTGTTTCTGAAGTCGTGACATAGTTTTGAAAAACAGGGCGAAAAAGTGCCTTCATAGTGATCCTCATTTGTATTTTACTGAAACTAAACCGACCAGGATGGGAGATTCAAGAGACTAGTCGTTTCGCATACGTTTTGTCCAATAAGTTCACTATTTGAGCTACCTCACCCTTCGGAAAAACTCAAGGGATTCATTAGATATTGAGGGCTACTTTTATAAGGATACTATTTTGATGAACACAGTATTTTTCAGGTGGAATAAACGTTTTATTAAAGGGTAAAGTGATAATAAGTATGTCTCAAAACCAAGAAATATTCAAGGACAAATCCTGAGGTTTATAGAAGCCTTATTTATACGTGAATTCAAACTGCCTTATGTGTACAGAAACAATTTATTATAACTTGGAATAAATTCTGATAAATTTTAAGTCATTTTATGACCCGAGGGGGTAATGTGACAATTTCCTATTCTTTCCATACTATGTTAATTTGCTCTTTCTCTCTCTCTCTCTCTCACTTATTAACTATTATCACCTTACATTTATTTGAATTGTTATTGGTTAACTGAACTTGAGGGATTTTCATATAAAACGCCTCGGTGAGTGTATATGTGTGACCAGATAGTTCGAAATGTATGGCGCAAATACATCACATCATTTTTCATAACATCTACATCTCATTTTTCTATCGCCCATAGTTTGATTTTTTTTTTCAAACAAATAACCGTATTTTTTTATAAACAGGTTTCGGTTTAGGAGTAATGATTCATGATGGTTTCAATTTGTCTTCAGTATGGGAAGTTAGTGAACCAGTATGTCACAGTAAATTGTGGATACCAAAACATATAATACGAATAATTTGGGTACTCTGGCAAACATATTTTGTATTCAAATACCACCGAGTAAGTTGATGTTTTATTATGTTGGTTCTGTACACAACAACAGAAACACAGCCAAATAGGAATTTTGCCCAGATGAATAATTTTATGAATCCAGATTTTAACTATTCTTCGAAAGAATGTGGGAAAATTTTAAAAAATGGTGTTTCTGTTGTCCCGACCACGTCAACTGATGAATTTTCAATACTTCATTTACTGATATGCCATCCTTACCTAGCACCCGTTTCCTAACAACACAAACAATGCTTCGGAGATGCCTATAGTCGGATACCAGTAACCTACAAATATCATCTGCTCTGACTGGCCATGTTTCACATCTATCGAGTAAGACATAGCAAACTGTTGCTCAGTAGATCCATCCTTTAATTAGCGCCATAAGTGACGCAGGTTGGCAGAAGCCAGTCGAGCCTTCTGTATCAGTGCTGAGATTTCGTCAGTCACCAGGCCATCAGCACTGATGAGACTACCGAGATAAGTGAAGCGTTCAACACACTCAGCTTCATAACTCCCTATCACTAGTTCGGGTGCCGACGCAAGCCAATCTCGAAGCAACGTTTTGCATTTCGAGGAAGTAAACCGCATCCTGAACTTGCTTGCATTACTGCTTAGGGTAGTCAGAAGACTTTGTATCTTGTCAGCGTCTTCACCAAGTAGAACTACGTCATCTGCTTTTTCTAATTCATAGTTAAGTAAGAATGGAGAAAGTACACAGTCCTGACAAACAACAATTTAAGTAATCAGTTCTGATGACAGTTAACTATAAACTCTCACTCGATCAGTTGTGTTAGAGTAGAGAGCCTATATAAGGGTAATTTGCTTCTCTGGTACATCTTTTATTAACAGACATTGCCATAGAACCTCACGACAAACAAAGTCGAACGCTGCCTTTAGGCAGACAAACGAAACTATAATAGAAAGTCGAAAAGTACGTTTTTCTTATAGCACCCGAAGAAGTGTGAATATGCAGTCTATAAATCCATGTTCAGGTCTTAAACCAGCATCGTTTACTCAAGTCTGCTTTTGACGAACACTAGGGAGGTGAAGCATTATTGAGTGTGGTGTTCTAGACACTGTATTAGTGAGACTGATTCATCTGTGATTGTCACAAGAGGACTTTTGTCTTTCCTTATAAATTGGGACAATCTGGGATTGAGACCAGTCGGATGGGATTACGTCAAGTTTCGAAATTCTACCTAAGATCTCAGTCATTGTAACTACTAAAAATGGACCACCATCCGAAAAACCGCAGGGGTCAATCTATCAGGACCCACTGCTCTTCCTCTCTTCAAGTTTCCCTTAGATTTTTCAACTTCGTTAAGACTAGGAGGATTTACATATATTTGCCATTCAGGTTGACTGGAGATCGCGGGCAACCGAAGTGTGACTGAAAGCCATTTGAACTGTTCTGTAAAATGATCTGCCTGTTGATCTAATCTCTTGGTTTGAGGATGAATAATAAGCACATCCTCCTCCGAGATAGTATCACTTAGAGTCGGATTCTTACGGTTTGTTTGTAAATTCTGAACAGCTCTCTACTGTTACCTATAGGCACTGTCTTTTCCATCTCTCTTGCTTTCGCTACCCACCACTGATCGTGATCATTGTGTAGGCTGTCTTTCGTTCATACCCAGACGGGATGAGTTTCAGAGAATCCATCCAAAGCTCCTTAACCCTATGGTTTATCTTACTAGCGGACATCACTGCTGCTTCAACAGCTTTTTTGAATATCATTCCAGACTGCTTCTGGGTGGGTATCACTTAATTGGCTGCCTAACTGTTTTTCTAGTTGTTCTTAGATATGCTGTCATCAAGTAGGACCCTAACAGGTTTCTTCGCGGTGTATTTTCTGCGTCCAGTAAGCCGCATGCCATGGTAGAACCTACAGAACATATCTTTCAGTCAATATAGCTCGGTTGAGTCATCACGCTAGGCAAGCCTGACCACCATGTCAAGATAGCAGCTACGGTCGGGTTCATTAATTTTTTTTTTGTATTATTTATTAAAAAATCTCATATCATGAGTTTCTTATGCATCAGCTGAACCATCAAAAGTATATTCATTAGAAAACTTTTTACTTTATGTACTTAAATACTAAGTAATTATAGTACAGATGATACATCAGAAGACATTACATATTCTGTATCAAAAAGAAATTACACAGTTAAAAGGAATGAGCTTGACGCTAAGTTTTCAGAAAGAAAGAATCAACAGGCACTGAACAAAACGATTTAACAACGACAAGATGAGGTACGAAAACTCAAAACAGATAGAAAAGAGTCAACACACAATGGTCCATTGTATCATCAGCAATCACAATCTGTGAAATTTGTTGAACATCATTGAAACTAATGATTGTTTATAGATAGAACGGTCTTGCAAATAAGGACAGGATAAGGCTGGGTGGCAATATAATATGATTTTAACCCTATTGGGTTGTAAATCGGTATTAACGATGATAGCAGATAAAGGTCATTCACTATTACAGATCGACTGAACTTGGAAAGACAAACCACTAGATATCAACTCATTCATCTAAGAATAACCAACTTCTCATTAAGCCTCAGAGTATTTAGTATTATACTTTATGGAACCACCGGTGAATCCACAGTAGGAAAAGAAATCCAGTGCCCTCTGGCTGTCTATTGTTGTTTAGTTAAAACTAATTTATTATTTTAAATGATTAAACTCTCATCTATAATTTCGAAGCTATAATAATGACGAACTAATTAGAACGATATTTTGTCTTCATTCAATTTATATCTATGAACAAATAATTACAAAAACAATCTTTTAGGTTATATTACATCGTCACCGAGTAACAGTACGTTTATCTTGTATACATTTGGCTACAATAAATTTCTGTCATTGGCTGAAAGTTGTCGTTGGTGAAGTGGCGTTAAGTTTGAAAACACCCGTTCCCTACTCGTCAATAGTTCATTCAACTCATATTTCAAATATTATCATTGACAAGCATAACATGGTAAGCCTGATAATATCACCAGGTAATTTAGTAAAGTGTTTTGTGTGTTTGCATTTTATAAAAGTCATTTCCAGCACTAAAAAAACAGATTATATTGCCATTGAATATTTTTTTTAACATTCTAAACACCATTTAAAGTATTTCTATTTGTACTGTATTTCTAAAATGATTTAACTACCTAAGAGATGAATGTAATCATAAAATTATTATCTGAAGATAATATGTCTCCTCATTTGTATATTTCTTTATGCCGTTCTGATAATTATAATCAATAAACAATCATTTTATTATGTAATATAGTTTTTAACCTGCTTGCTTTACTAGAACTTACCCATACTATTCAGTTTAAAAGAGCCTTTCATTAAAATACGATGAGATTGGATAGATTTCAGACATGTTGGCTGAATTATAATAGTGCTAAACAATATTACTTTTGTGTGATAGACCAATCACTAACAGATACTTTAATCACAATGGAACTTATTGCAAATTTACATAAAAATAATAAGGACGATCTATCCAAATCTACTGAACTTATACACTTTTAAATGTTCATAAACACACCTGGTTAGTGACATCAATTGATTCAAAATTGAGTTTACTGAGGTACAATATAATATCACTGTTGCCAATTATTAATAAAATTATTATAAATGTTTTTCTTTAAATCAATAAACTTAACACATTGGTGACCACCAGCTTAATTACTACATGTATAGTTAGTTCCCTTATAAATACACTATTACTTACATCCTGTGTTCATATATATATATATATATATATATATATATATATATATATATATAATTCAGTTTTATTACATTTTCAGAATGTGGCGAAATTCTTTAAGAAGGTATATTTCAAAGCGCATAGTCAGTCAGTCACAACATAGAACTTCATACATACGTACTCCAGTTCACGTTGCCATATCACATTTACGCAGAGACGTAATTGTCAATTCAAATCCCATAGTAGTAGAGATAATAGAAGTATTAGCAATAATTGAGAGATCAGTTTTCGAAGATATTATTCAAGAAGTACGATCTAGTGAAATAAATGTAGAAGAGAAAGATAAAGATGATGAAGAATCCGGAGGATTAGGAAATGAGAGAAGCCGGAAAAATGGATGCACCTGCTCCATTACAAACGATTTTGAGCCATGTCATTCAAGGTCTCTAACTATCGATTACTATCATCTTGCTAACCCCAACCAGATAGTCTAAACCTGCCAAAATGGCTCAATCCGCTTGCGACTTCATGGATTTGTACCATGTTTTGGTTTGGCCGCCCATAGGTCTCTTCCAACACACCCCTACACTACAAGACAATGCTCGTCGAAGCAGTTGGTGGTTGGGAATATGTAACACATGTTCCATTTCAAAGCACGTTTTCAATATAAACAGTTAACTTGTTCACCTTGATTTTGGTTGAACCAGAGATTTCTGTCATTTCAGTAATCTCATCATTGTGATTAAAAGCTTCATATTCATAAAGCTATGTTTTTTTCAATCTATCTTTCTCACTTTATGTAAAATTATGTTGTAGGTATTTGGCTATTCAATTTGCACTATATTTATCATCGTTTGTCAGAAAAGTGTGTCTTCTTTCTTGAAGGGACAGATACAGACTTTCCTGTTGGATTACTTAGGGGAAAATTTAACCCGAAAACCTAGTAGGATGTCATGACCAGTACAGCATAGACATGTCCGGATTGAATTAATTGTCAGCAGTGGTATTGAATAATCATCGTTTCATAATGTGGATTGAATTTAAAAATATTTACCATGAAACATCAATCTAATGGTTGTACCTGTTAGGTGTTTATCGAAGGACGTAACGGTTCAGTATTCGACCAGTGGTGCAGTCGTGGGTATCAACCGCTTGGAGAAGAAAGCTGTTCATCGTTCCTTTATTTATAGTAGTACCCCAACTGAAATCGATTTGTACCAGATACCACCTTCTAATTAAAATCCTAGGGTCACTTTATTCATTGTTCAGTCACTCTTGTTGATGATTTCAAACTACCGTCAATAATCATTTACAGTCGTGAAGTTAAGATAATCAGATTTCATCGATCGTAAACAAAATAAAGATTTTTTGTTACACAGCCGTAACAGCAAATAACTAGCCAATAAAATCTTATGCTAAACCATGTAAAATGACCCAATAGGATGGGAAAATTACATCAAGTTTATATTGCCACTAAATGCTTAACTACTTCTCAATAGTAGTTAATTGTACAGTATTTTATTACTCTATTTTTTTATTTATTTCAGACCGATCTTTCATTTAATGCTTACAATGAAAATACTACTCAAAATAGTAAGTATATTATTGGAATAGATTTTTGCTAAAATCATTCCAAGAATCGATTAAGCACTTTCAATAATCTGATGTTCAATGAATGATTGATTGAAGATAAAATCTGTGGACTATTATGTATACTGAGCAGGAAGATTTCACTTCTACGTCGATGAATACTCTTCACACTATGAAACTGTGATTCAGTGGTTCAGGCCCTTACTTTCAGCCATCAAATTTCAGTTTCACATTAGCTACCCGGAATCTAACTTTAATTCGAACGAACAATTGAATATGCCATGAAATAAACCTTTCATCTAATTTCTTTATATTATTCTTAGGCAAACCCCGTTTGAGTGACAACGTTTATTATTTCATTCATTCGTGTAAGTAGACAGACAACAGAATGCGAAACGCAAAAAGCAAAGCGGAGAACGTGAGAGGGTCAAGTCGATGTCATGCAGCAAAGCTAAGTATTTATAGTCAGATAAAATTAAGCTAGACACATGATAAGTGAAGTAAGTAATGGACGTACACAAATGAAAATAACCAAAATTTTAAGCGAACTATTGAAAATTCCAGACACATAATGATCAATAACTCGAAAAGAATATATTGATTAGTTTGTCCAAAAGCCGAGACAAGCCTGTGGGCTCAACATATTCGTGCACACGTTACACACTCTCCACTAACCTCATTTAGAGCGCCTGAATTGTATCCGAAGCCCTCAAACAGTTTTTGTACAGAAGCCACTGCACATGGATCTGTACTTGGTAAATGAGTTGATAAAAAATCATACCATGGTCAGAGACTTTATACTGAGATCTTTATGCTCCAAAATGACTGTTTGTATGACTTTACTGGTCAATAACTGTCATTTTTAGACCTTACTGTCACTAAACTTTATCGATCAAATTACAAAATGGACGTCGAATCAAAAAATTCAAAATTTGTGTGGTAGTCTGACCCCAGCAAGATCAAGCAATGAATTACAAACTTGATTTACTTTGTCTACATTCTGTTAACAAATCACACTGATTCGACGTATAGTAACGAAAGTCGACGACGATCTGTTTTTAGCATTTGTATATTTCAGACGTGAAGGTAAAAGATGCAGTGACTGGGCAAATAATCAGAGTTTGGTAATACAGTAACTCGGAAACTAACAAAATGACTTAAATTTTTTTGAGCCACGCAGAAATTACAAGAATCTTATTCACATGATCAACATGCAATTGATTGTTAAAATAAGTAGAAAGATTAGAATAATTCATTTGTCCGCAGATTGCTACATTTTATTTCATATTTGTCACACATTGTTGGCGGAATTTGTAGATAAATATTTGAGACGTATGAATTTTATAAAATTCAACATTACTGAAAAGCACACACTTTCGTATTACTCCGGTCACAGACCAATGTTCTTACTTCAGTCTTACAAGGGAGAAATCAATTATTTACAATGGTGCAATTTCTTACTGCTCACTCAATCTTCAATGATTTCATTAACAAATTAACTGAAATTTCCCAATCTTGTTTGTTTTTGTTTGTTTTTTTTGTTAAATATATTTAGATCATTATACCAGTAGTAATACATTGGCTGGAACAATCAATCGTGCTAATGATGGTAGTATACCTAAAATATGTCTTGGTTATTTGGGTGTAACAATGAATCCATTTTTATTTCCATTAGCTATTGAATATAGTTTAATAACTGGATCATTCTTTTATAAAATGTTACAACGTTTAGATCAAACATTTCCAAAATCATTTGATCATTCATCCAATGGTAGTGATTGTCATGTGTTAAATTCATTAAGTTTATTAAGTCCATCACCACCATCAACAGCGAATAGTATTAATAAAAGTGAATTTGATAAATTTCTGGAAGATGATAATATCTCAGAACAACAACAACAACATCAACATCAGCAACGTCAACAACTACAACAACAACAACAATATCATCCAGAATGCAAAAAACATATGACCTATAGACCAGTAATGGGATGTAAAGTATTTCTTCCATTATTAAAACAAAATAAATTACAAATAATCAATGAAGATTATACAACATCTATAGGTAAGTAAAGTGTTTTGCCCAGAACCTTTATTAACATTTACTGGACAAATATCATATCCTTTAGCTACCTCTTGGATTTTGATTAAGTTGTTTCATTCTACTGAAACCTATTGATCTTGTTTTCAGGTTGTGCATTCTCATTGCCAAGAAGTTCCGCACTAGGTTTAAACATATATCCGATGCTTCCTGTCTTTGATTGCTTGTCAGACTGGTCATTTCGTTATATATATATTTGTGTTACCCAACAATCTTCACAACCCCTTACACTGATGAGTCATGTAAGCTGATCTACATTATGTCAGAGAGGTGTCAAGTTTGATCAAAGCGAAAATGGTTAACAGCTTCATATTTTATTGGTTATTGTTTATGAGGATTGGTGAACTTTGATTGTGTTTAATATTTGATATTGAAACAAGTGTAATGTGAAAAATAATACTTCAATAAATGACAAGTAATATAATTGAAAACCGACAGAAAATTCCCAAGGTTTTAATTCTCCGCCTGTTAACAGGACCACATGTAGTACACGTATAGTATTTGTGGAGTAAAAATAGTTAACCTAAATTGAGCTACTGTATGCTCATAATACGACTTGTTGTAAGAAAAATTCTAAATTATTTTGTCATAACGAAAAATTGTTTTACTACGCATATGCATGAAATAAAATATTTTCCTTTGAAATCATGAACTGATCAATGTTAGATAATCATTAGAATCCTGGAATCACTGGTAAGCCGTTTCATCCTGGTTAGGGACTCATCATCAGTGCTCATCCACAACTCCCGTTACTTGCAGGAATCGAACCCAGGACCGTCGGTCTCGCGTGCGAACTCTAGACCACTAACATAGATCAATTCATGATTTCAAAGTAACTCAACAATCCCCACAACTTTATATTGAAAATTAACATAAGCTCACTAGCGACTAGCTTCGTGAGGAAGCTTCTCCGAGTTCTAGTGAGAAGTTGTGACCAGTGGACTCCAATCCCTATCGGCTGTGAAACAGTGTTCACCGAAGACAGTAGATGAGGTCGCACAAGACCGTAGATTGATCTAAGCTTGGCATTAACACCGTTGTATGCCGGCTCAGTGGTCGAGAGGTTAAGAGTTCACCCGTGAGACCGACGGTCTTGGGTTCGATTCCTGCAAGTAACGGGAGTTGTGGATGAGTACTGATGATAAGTCCCTAACCAGGATGAAACGGCTTACCAGTGCTTCCAGGTTTCTAACAATGATCTAACATTGAACGATTCATGATTTCAAAGTTAGCCAACAATCTCCATAACCTTTTCATGAAAACTTTTAATATTATTTATGCATTAAATACACTATTTTCGGTAACTCGATTATGAAGACTCCTAACAGTTGCTGATACTTGATGAATATCACGTGATTGATACTTCTCAATATATTCTAGTATACGACACTTTGACCGTTGAAGTAATGAATATTGGGTATTATGTCCCTATTTAATTGAACACCAGTACATCAATGAAAGGGAACAATTTCATAAAGATACAAAACTTGAATCGGAAGATATGCACTCTTTGGATTTTAGTTGTTAACCACGTAACAAATGACATTACAATATATAAAGAGCTTGAGTTTGAATGGTAATTAGTTATTCAAGGGAATATAATGGTTAGATAAGTAGCTTAGTGACCACAGTAAACAACTTTCAACCACCAGATCTCACACTTAAGTCTTACTCCATCTAATTTGGCTTAGGCGTCCGGGTAGAATCATTTACACTCGTACATACTACTTGGCTCAAAGCTATGTGAGAATGTGTACGTGATGAGCTAAGAGATAATATAACTAAAATAATCGATTTCAGACAGTTTCTATTTGATTTCGGTAATAAACAAGCAGGTTCAAAAATGAGTTTCATGGAAGTTAAAACTTGTCAGAAATCATCATTGAGATAAAGTTAGGCATTTCTAGTACATTCTGATCATTAAGGTTAAGGTTTATTGATAGCGTAATCACTGTTTATCTTTATCAGGGAAATTTATTTTTGTGAAGGTGTTTTGTTCTCTGAGCTGGTTGTTTTGGTTGTGGAGCTTTTCAGCTCCGTTTACGTGAACATCAATTAGCAGTCAAACACCACGACAACGCTTCGCTTATATCAATACACACCGACAATTATGGACACACATTTGATTGGAACAACGTGGAAATACTAGGTAGGGGGAGGACAAAGAACACTAGAGAATTTTTAGAAGCTTGGCACTCAGGTCAATTAGCAATCAACAAACACATCGACATTGACCCAATTTATCAACCAATCAGGAAAATCATAGGTGACACTAGATCAAGAAACAGATCAAAAGAGGGAGGCAATCAAAACATAGTTGCAAACAACGACAGGCCAAAGGTCAACAACAACCAATCAAGATCGAGGTTAGCAGAACAAGCTACAGGTCAAACGTGGAGAAATTCTAATGCTTCACTTCTATCTGAAGTTCGTGCTGATGATGTTGTTCAGAAGAACAATGAAAGCTCCACAACCAAAACAACCAGCTCAGAGAACAAAACACCTTCACAATCATCCACCTGAGCTACAAGTTTTCTCCACCATCTCAAATTTATTTTTGAACGAGATTTTAAAGGTTATGAGATTCATTCAAAAATTCATTGTTGAAATCTTGATTTGAATAAATTTTAGTCGATTGTCAGTAAAACATTTTTGTAGAAAATTATTGAAATATTTAGCGAATACATCATAAAATATTGAGACAAAGTCCATTCAAAATATGTTTTAATGATAACTAGTGTAAGCAGATGATCTCTAGTACAAATGAAAACTTAAAAACCACTATTAGCTGGAAGTACTCATATAACCTGTTTCTTTCAAATTATATGAAAAAAACACAGAAAGTAGTTAAATCTTATACCGAAGATAATCGCATTTTATATACGGAATAACTGATCTACATTTACTGACCGTTTCAAAAGTGAGACAGACACCACTGACAGAAATATTATCAATTTCGAACCTTGGAGTTCCTTCTGAAAGGGTATTGCGCATACCATAAGTCCTGAAAATGTTAGGTTTCGGAATGCGTAAAATTTACCGTGAATATCGCTAGGACGTCCCAAAAAAGAACAGAACTTTCAGTCAATTAATTCTGCTTTCCTTTGACCAACATCAGTTTATGACTCTTAGCTTTATAATACTACTTAATAGGAATTTTATATTGTAATCAGTAAATCTTTGTTGTTTATTGTTTTTATTTTTGAAACACTTCCAAATATTTGAATTCAATTGACAATCAAACTATTGGTATGAACTACTATTAAATACACCAGTTGAAGAAAACAAAGATATGTCTGGTGATCAAAAACCATCAAAATTGGATGCTGGTCATCAATGTCATCGATCTCATTCTGGTTTATTTTTAGGTATTATGTTATTAATAGCTAGTATTGTTTGCATGGTTTTATTTTTAATTCGTGGACGTAATGGCTCTAAACAATTAGCTGCATATATTTATCAAAAATCAAAGCTTGCCTTATCATCAATTAGTTTATTAGCATGTGTAATGGCAATTTCACAGACAAATCAATTGAAATTTCGTCGTTTAGAACGAGGCGAAAGTTTTGAATATAATTTATTAACTATCGGTCTAATCGGTTGTATTACATATCACATGTTTTTATTTATACCAGCTTTAGAAACTGTCATACATATAATAATATTTCATTCTTCAAGTGGTTTAAAAGATCGTTTCGATGTTGAACAAATGAACGATGATTTTAATGAATTTGCATACTTAAAAAATACCACACGTGATTTCGACGTAACCAGTGATCATATTCAATATACAGCAATGTTATATTTAGCTAAGTGTACATTAGAAATATGTCAAGCATTATTACAATTCTTTTTCATTGTTGAAACATCAAGACGTAAAGTGTGTTGTATAAATCAAGCGATAATCAAACCAGGACGTTCAGTAATAGTATTTTTATTAATATGTAATTTAGCTTTATGGCTTGTTAATACATTTGAAGTGAGAAGTGCCGAAACACAATTACCATTATACAGACAATATTTCGGTGTACGTACATGGTCTGTTATTACTTATTGTTTTATTCCATTGATTATATTTTTCCGCTTTCATTCAACTGTATGCTTAGCTGAATTATGGACAAAATTATATCAACTAAGATAAATTATTGAAAAATAATCGATTTCTGTTATCTCTTTCATATATACCATTCAGTTTGTTTTATCAAATCAACTCAAGTAATTATTCATTTTAGATGCCTCTAAAAATGTAATTAGGCTAACTTTTATGGATTAAATGCACTTATGGAATAATACGTCTTTATTTTTTCATCTACTGATAAAATTAAAATTGATGATCAGAAGTACTTACATTCTCTGTACTGAATAGTAATACCTAGGACTATCTAATTCGTACTCTGCTAGTTACGTAATGGACTAGTATTAGATTCAGCAATAACTCTCTGAGCACAATCGAATGTTTTATATTTAGAACTCGCATCAGGTGCGCACCAATTTAAAAAAGAATCATTATTGTTTACAAACACCATTTCTGCCCTACCTTAAACTAATATTGGGCTTTTCGTAATTCCTCACATATTTTTTGACACATTATTTGGATATATCCCAGACTGTCTTTTGAAATTGGATTTAGTATTATCTAGAAAACGCTTATTAATATTAAAGTGAACAACGGATCCTGGTATCGTATCCGCTCCTTGTGAATGGAATATATGCGAACCACAGATTTATCACCACTCCTCAACCGATTTCTCGTGGGTTGTCAATCAATTTCTTGATATTATTTGACGTTACCAGAGTGTAGATAATCCATTTTCGGACGCACAGTTTTTTGCTTAAGTAATTTTGCTGGTTTATTTTGTTTGTGGTTCGGAGTTTCGGTACTGGCAGATCTCATTTACTCTCCTCTCCAAGTATCAGAATTGTTGTTTACAAGGTCTCAACAATTTCTACCTGAGCAACAGAATAGGAAAGTTTCGGAGTTGTGCGTAAATCATCACACCTCGATTCTGTAGTCGAACTGCCATCAAGTCACTTACCAGAACTGTCTTCATTAGTCAATAAAAACAGTTGTCCTCTAAGCATTCTTAAATTTCATGGCCTCGAAATAGGTGGTTCACAACCACTGATGAAAAACTCAAAAGTTTTAATTGAATATTTATCATCTCTGAACAGTAAACTACAGCATCCAAAAATAAGAAGTTCATGACCCGAAATACATGAAATACAAAGTTTAATGGGTTTAATTAGAGTATGGTGCGCACTACTTATAAGTAGTATATGACGTGAGTGCCAACGTAATGTCTGGCAGCAGAAGATGGGGGAAGATCAAGAAAGGAAGAGTGGGAACACTATGGAATTTGTATGAAATGCATGAATAAGTGAAATGTCAGACAATGGATTGATGACTGATTGAAGATTTGCAAATTAACCGTTTACGACATGGTTTCCTTACTTTACTGAATAACTCTGTAATTCTCGTTGCCCCACCTGTGTTCTCGTTCAATACAACAGCATCAGGATTTGATCACTTCAATATTTCGACAGAAATGATAGATTTGATACTACTAACAACAAAACCACGAAAAGAGCCACTACATAAATATCATCGTTCTCTGATAAGAAGTGACTCACTCGAAGTTGTAAATAAAGATAGTATATGATTATCAGAATCACTGAGATCAGAAGGATCCAAAGTACAGTGTTTATCATCACTAGTGGTGAAATGAACAGTAGTTCTACACACCTATCCGATGTGCCCGATTTTACCTCACTCGAAATATTTAGCACATCAAGAGACACGTGAACAACGTGAATGCAATCTGGTAAAAGTATAACATACAACCTTGAGCGGTCTATCAGGAAATGGTTCCCAGTTATAAAACAATTGACATCTAAAAACAATAAAATATCATTGGAATAATAGCTTTTATCCGAATAACCAACCATCCTATATGGATTTATTCTTTCTCATGTAAAAGAAAGCTCAAGTTTACAGTAGGCCACTATCGAATGATCTAGTAACCTTCGGTAACATAACGGAATCAATTTAGGACATCTGAGTCTGCTTTCACTAGGTAGCTCATTAAGACCATGCACCATTTCCGCCACTCACCGTTGAACTCGTCCTGTCATACCCGTCTCATACTTGAAACAAGGACTCTCTACGTTAGTTGTATGATCCAAATGCAACTTCACAGACGTTGAAGTAATTAAGTAACTTACGAAAAACCCATAACAGTATGAAATATTTGGCAGCGACAGCCTTATAATTACTCGTAGTCCTCAGTTTTTATCATCTACTAAGGTAGTTCTACTTTATTTATTTTGTAGTTGCATGAGTCGTCGCAGTGATTTAAATGCATCACAGCACTTCTGCTAGGATTAACTCCACCTATATATCCATTCAACCAGTGGACTTAGGTTGTCCTGTAGTACGATCCAATCCGACATACATTGTATGGGTCTCCTAATCTAAATATCATCGGCAAAGAGTAGAACAGATGACTTTGCTGCAGTTGTATTGGTATTTATATAAAGCAAGAAAAGCAGAGTGTCAAGAATTTTACCCTGGGGTATTCTACTTTTACTTTATAATAGATTCTAATATTGAACAGTTTTCATCTAAGATCTAGTCAAAGAACTTGTCTGAGGCTTTACTCCGCCTTTGAAAAAACATCTACTGGAATATTTCCATCATTCGCTTCAGTCCAATCTTTCCTGCAGTGAGATTTGTCAAACTTGAAAATCCTTTCCTAGAACTATATAGTTCTCTAAGTAAAAGATTGTTTCCTTCCACATAGTTTAGAAAAGCCATCCAAATAGCTTTTTCCATTAGTTTGACGACTACTCTGATCAGACTAACGGGCCTGCAGTTACTCACTACGTCTCAACTTTCCGCTTTATAAATTCGATTAATAATGAATGGCATCTTTCCAAAATTTGGCATTAAACAGCCTGAAAGACATATTAAACAATATTGCCAGAGTTTCGGCAATTACATCCACTAAGGCTTTCGTGATCCTATAACGAATGGCGTCCGGATGACTGGAATTGTTTGATTTGACATGCTGAAGCGACCGTAAGACAACTTCTTTCTCAAAAACTATAGAATCCTTCGATAAGCCACCATCACTGAACATAACCATTGGCCCTTTACCATTAGTGGTAAAAAAAACTGCTAAAATACTTTGTGAAAGCTTCTGCTTTTTGAACTTTATTTCTTGTCAATGTCAACGGATCTTCTTGTACCAGAAATGAAGGGATCTCTAAGTTATTCTCTTTCTATATGAGAATAAACGTTTGGTTAATTTTCACAGTTCCTAACCAATTGCTTCTTATAAAAAGTCTAACCTTACTTATCAACGTTTTGCATGCGTTCTTGATCTTACAATAAGTGGATCTGAACTATTCAAAACCTGTAGAGAATAACATATTCCAATGTCTCTTCTTGCATCTAAGAAGTTTTCCAACCTCTTGATTCCATCTATCACAAGAATTTATGTGGTCTGTATGGTACTAAGCACGACGAAATCAGGGATGTCATTGAGTCAACTATAACTTTAAAATATCAACCGTACGTCATCTGATAAGCTAGTATCTACTGACAAATCGTTGCTGCTTGTGTCGTTGCTGTGTTTGCACTCCACACATTTGGATAACGTCGGGGCTGATCATATAATGTGTCACAATCCCTAAACATGAATATCAGAACAATATGGTCGAATACTTAAAAAGGTAATAATACCCTCAGGTAAATGAGTGATAAGTAAGTCTAACAAAAAGATCCATGTTTCAAACCAAAAAAAAGTTGTTGGTTCGGATACACGCTGTATTTAGGCATATTCTATTGAGCCTACTATCGTAAGGATTTTCATGTTATATAGTGAACACTTCTGTCCAATTAATATCGGGTACATTAAAATCCCTTAATATCAGGCATCTGTTACTTAGACTCCATAGATGAAAGTACTCAGAAAATCTCATCAAATAAGCAGCCTGGTCTACGATTGATGATACCGATTATAAATGTATAACCTTCACAAGTGCATTCACATGAAAATCCCATTATTATGAGATCCAGAAATAGAAGAACAAATATTTATACCATTAATTATAATGTGAGAACCATAACCCCTTTCCTGCATCTAGTTCTATCAATTTTTAGATTATACCCCAATAATTCTGCAGTCGTATCACACTCATGGACATTCTGGTTATAGTTATGACAAGTTGATTCAATCTACCCATTAATGTTCCTAGTTTACTGTATCTGTTTGTAAGACTATGAGCACTTTTACATAAAACTACTAAAGAAAATGATTTATCCATACAAATTTTGGTACTATTCGCTTCCAAGACATGACTAACTGAAAACCCATAAAGTGAATATTTCGTTCAGCAATTTTCCAGCTTTTGATCTAAAATTCTGAATCGTTATCTGGTGAGATTCCACGAAGAAATTTCCTGTCGTTCTTTAAGTTTTAAGCATATTTGATTATTTTATCAGGATTGATCGGTCATAATGAATCACATCAATACTCGATTAAATCAATCATTTTCGTGGTGCATAAGAGTCGATTAGTTGTAATTTGGAACTTTGGTTGACCATCCTATGACTGAAAATGATGGTATAACTCAAACTTGTCAAATAAACCTACAGCGTTTGTGAAAGCGGTTTTTTCTTTGTCTCTGTAACCATTTGTTGTCACTCGGAACAAATGTAGGATGAGGTTCTGAAAAAGAGAAAGGGAAGTGAAGAAGAACAGAAAATATTCTTGTTTAACCCTGAATAATGACTTAGTATAAACAAAACTAGCATAAACCAATTGATTTTTTTCGCGCCCTATTCTTGTTCTCTACGGTACGGTTTCAGTTACAATTTCATCTGAAAAATATTAGCTCTTTATAAAAAGCCAATGTATCTTGTTTTATGTTTGCGTAACTGAACAATCTTTTATAGTAAATGTGTTAGCAATTTTATCATTTTGATCTCGCCTTGAAATTGGCATGTTTCTTGTAACATGATATTCATTGAGAATAAATTATTATTATTATTATCCGCATCCTTTTTTTTAATTCATCTGTCTACTAGAAATAGGAACCAAAATTGATGTGGGAGATAAGAAGAAAGTGATGTGACTT